AACTTCACCCCGAGCATCCTCCAAAAGCGTGGCGCAGAGGTCGAGTTTTTTGGTTTTCTGCTCAGAATCCTTCCTTCCACCCGTGCTTTCTTGGGAGGCCGTGGGAAGACCAGTCGTTGCACATCAGCAAAGCATGTGCGTTTTCCTTTGTGATGAAAAGTGAGTGATGGGTGCTCTAAGAGTAAGAGGTAAACCTTGTTGCTTGTGTGGGAAGACCTAAATTGGGAAATAACACTACAGTGATTTTCCAGGATGCTAGGCAGAATCATACAGGAACAGATTATTTATTTCTGTTACGCAATCGCAGGATCAGTCTGTAACCAAATAAAATTCTGTAATCTGATTTGGTGAAAATGGATGGTGACATACTAAAAGCCTGGGTCAATACTTAGCTTATTGCGTACCCCTTACTCTTGTCATATTAGATTGAGCATTAATGACTCCACTGGGGAGTCACACTTCTTCACTTATTTTTTAATTGTCTGTGTCTTTAATTTTTAAGAAGAATTGGCCAGCTTGATATAAACAATCTCCCTTTTATGATTTTTCTTACACTCTCGAGGATGTCTTCTGATTCTGGTGCTAACATTTATTCTGTGTTCTGCTTTACTCATTTTCAGAGCTTTTCCGCTTGGTGAGACTAACTGTGAAGTAAGCTCATACTCATGAAATGGGAAAATCTCATTATTCTTGCCCTTTGTCCTCGACGTATCCTGTAAAACTGAATTATCTGTAGGAATTTCTTGGATCAACACTGAGAATGAAAATGTTCCGGTAGTAATCTCTGTCTCTGTGCGTGAACTTCCTTCTGTGGAATTGCTCTGTGACTGTAGGTCTTCAGGGACAATAATCCCTTACCCATTTCACTCTGTCGCCTCAAGTGAAAATGAGCTACGATCACAGAAGAGCCTTGATTTAAACAGCTGAACACCTGTCAGGGAGCAGCTTCCTCCTTTTGATGTCTGAAACTGTGCTGAGCAATTGAATGCTCTTGGGCTGACCAAAGCAGAGTTCATTTTTGGGTGAAAGGGGGATTCAGGAGCTTGGCAGAAAGCTGTCCCTGCGTTGCAAGACCAAGCTAAACTGTGGCCTGCTCAAGAGGCTCTTGCTTGCTTTGGTGCTTGGTAAACTTGGACACTTGTCAATAAAACATCAAGAAATAGATTGTTAATCAGTCTGCCAGCTTAGTTCGTTCTGGTGGCACCGGGTGAATTGGCAGAGCTGGTGCGCATGGTGTTGCAGAGGCGCTGCCTGCGAGTGCTTGGTGAGCCCCTGGAAGGAGTGCGGTCAGCCCGGCGAAGGGCGCAGCGCGCAGCCAGTGCGATGCCGCCGGCTGTCAGCGGGACAAAACAGGATGTGTTAATAACGTTAAGGTGTCCTTGAGGATCTGCTTGGTGCTGGTTCTTGCTCTGCTGGCTGTCAAGGGTTGGCCTGCCACCACTGCAGCTGGAGTTCAGCTCTTTGTATGCGCTTGCGATACAGTCCTTAATGAGTTGGTGATTTTTCCATTAGGCTCTGTGGGATGGAGAGGGTATTGTGGCAGTGTTAAGATACTCACAGCTTTATGTACTGTGGATGTTAGAAGTAAACATTCTCAAAGGCTTGCCTTGTGACCCTTGATGAGCTTAGTAGGTGGCTTCTGGTCATGCTGTATTTTGGCTCCTCTGTGGCACCAAGACTTTAGATACAGAAATAGGTTAGTGGGCCTAACCCAGACTCTGTTGATAATGTAGTGCAAGCTTGCAAAGGGCTACGAGGACGGTGAGGGGACGGGAGCATCTCTCCTATGAGGAGAGGCTGAGGGAGCTGGGCTTGTTCAGCGTGGAGAAGAGAAGGCTGAGAGGGGACGTAATAAATGCTTACAAATATCTGCAGGGTGGGTGGCAGGATGCCCAGGGAGGTTGTGGAGTCTTCTTCTCTGGAGATATTCCAGACCCACCTGGATGCGGTGCTGTGCAGCCTGCTGTAGGTGACCCTGCTTGGGCAGGGGGTTGGGCTAGGTGACCCACAGAGGTCCCTTCCAACCCCGACCATTCTGTGATTCTGTAAAGTGTGTGGTGTAATTGCATTAGGGGCAAGTAACTGTGATTTGAATTAAATCCACTGTAAAGGACGCAGGTGTTCAAGTCAGTTAAGCGTAGCTGTCTGCTGCCACTTCTGTTGTCCTGCTGGCTTCTGGCAGAGCATGGATACCCGTCCGCCTGCTGGCCCCAGGGTGCCTCAGGTATGCTCTCCAGTCTGAAATGGCACTGGACGCTTGTCGTTGGGGTCCTGCCTCTGCTTAACGCCTCCGGAAGGACTGCGAGTAAGACAGCAGACCAAGAGCTCCGGTTTGGAGGGCTACCAGCATGCCTAGGGCTGGGATCCATCATGCCGCTGACTGGAGCCGTACGGAAAAGCCGGCCGTTAGGCTGCGTGCATCGCGTCAGGGTCTGCTGGCTCCCTGTGTGGAGACTCTCCCTGCATCTCTTGCTTGCAGCTCGTGCCTGTGTGTTGGGATGCAGTTGTTGATGACCTGATTGTGTATTTGTCTGTCTGCATGATCCTTGCCTCATTCAACGTGAAGGGCAGATGGTGCTCAGGGATTCGCTATGGCTCTGTAGGCAGAGACTGTTGTTTGCAGGGTCACAAATGTCTTTCCAGCAGATGTTGAAAGCAGTGAGGCGGGGGGTTGTAGGAAAAGAGAGGATGATCTCATGTCTAAGCCGGTCGAGCAGCTGAGTGATGAGCTGGAGAACTGGAACCCTGCCTTCAGGATGCTGGACAGATAACTGAACCAGGCATCCTGTCCTAGGCCTAACCCATTTTCTTATGTCCACAGGCAGAGCAGCATCCTCAGCCCAGTGTTGTGTGTCTGCTCAAAATGAGTGTGGTGCCTTGCTGGTAGATGAAGGTGCAGTTAGGGGAAACGGCGTATTTTCTGGTTTATGACTTACAAATTTCCTCTTCATGGCAGTGGTTGGGTAGCCCTCACTGTTCCCGTTCCCGGGTGGCCTTTGGAGTTTGCAGCGTTTCCTTGAAAACTGATATGGCAGGGGTTGTTTACCAGGGTTCTCCAGTGTCCTACTTTAAGTAGGCACAGAGTGAAATAAACTTGAGTGTAACAAACCAGCTGTACAATATGCCTATAAACACAACGCCGCTTCCTCCAATCTGCCTGTTGAAGCCACTGCTGGTAGAATTTTAATAAAAATATATAATTGTCATTACAGTAGGAGAAATTACGGTCAATTTTTGTTAGAGATCTTCCTTTAAGCAACTGTTTGCTTTCTGTGGTAAAGATGCCTTGTTCCCCGTGCCTGGCGTTGAGCTGCCTTCAGTGTAAACGAGGAACTGAGTGTATGTTAGTCTTGCTTGTTCAGGCTTCCTTAGCTAAAAAACAAATAAACAAAACCAGGGTAATTTCTAGCCTTGAGCTATTGCTAGGCCTGACAGGATCAAAGAAGGGATAGCATTCTAGTGATGATAATGAAATAAAATTTTTATGGAAATGCCTGCACATCATTGCTCAAGAGCAAGGGTTTTGGGAGTGACATAAATCATCCTTTCTTAGGATTTATTCCCCCCTTTCAAAATCGGGAGTTAGGAATCATTTCCTTGAGACCAAACCCCATGCGGTGCCTTTTTAAATTTTCATTCTGAAGCTGCTGGTGATGGTTCAGGTCGGACCGTGGTCCAGCTGAATTTGAGAGCGGATCTTGTCTCGCAGTTTCTCTGTGTGTTGAAGTGATGCAGAAAGGAATGACCTCTCTCTGTATATCTTACTTTGATGGTTGGAAACACTTCTGAAGTTGAAGGCCCCTGGTGGTCCCTGATTTCAGTAGAAAACTTCACAGAGTGTTCAGAAACCAGCGGTCTGTGAAGAACCTGTTTGAACCTTGCCAGTGGGTACGTGGTTTGGCCAGCAAAGCCTCTTGGGGGTCTCTGCGGATGGCTGGGCGGCCGGGAAGGCTGCACGCCGCTGCTGCTGGAATTAATTCCCTGCCCGGGCTTGCAGAGGGCACCGCTGCTGCTCCGTGGTGGGTGGGGGAGCGGGTGGCGGAAGGGGGCCTCCTG